AGAGCAGCTTGCCAGGCAGCTCCCCACTGGCTTGTCTGGACAGAGAGAACTCATCCCTCTTCCCCTTTGCTCCAAACAATGTAGAGGCAGGAGGGAAAATCTCTCATCTCCAGCTATTCCCTGAGCAGACAAGCTGCTGCAGGGCCTTTACTGAAGTCCTGAAAGTCAGGCAAGAAAAGAGAAGCTCCACAGAGGCCCAGGCAGGAAGTCGACATCCCTCCCCAGACCGCGAGGACGAAAGCATCACTGTCAACTTCCACTGCAAAATGCTTGGCAGTCAAAATGGCCTGGCTGCTCCCAGACCACCCAGGGGGCTTGGCAAGAGAAAGAAGGGCTTCCCTTTGGCAGCGATGAGCGTGCTGGGGATGTTGAGGGATGTCCCCAAACAGAGCACATAATGAGGACTAAGGGTCCAATATATTCTTATTCTCGTATTCTCTCTCTCTCTCCTAATAGCAGTAGAGGTTAAGTGGAAAGCAGCCTGCTCCAGAAGGCAAAAGATCATCCCCCTACAATTATCCCTGAACTGATAGATTCTCTAATATGTAAATGGAGCAAATGATGCCTGTGGCTTTGAACTTTACTAGGTCAAAGAGAGTACCAAGAATGAGCAAGTAGCCTAAAGGTTCCAACCTGAGGGAAGGCCATAGCTATTATTCAAGCAAAAGCAGTTGCTTTTCAGTGAGCTTCCTCCTCATCCCATCTTACCTCTCTGAAAGTAAAACCAACTGAAGAACACATATCCCACTTGATTTTCAAATTTGACACAGAACTCTTAGTTTTTTCTCTGAAATCAATGGGGTGCTGGCTCTGGTTAAGAAAGTAAACCTTCTGGGGACCAGCAGTTAGCATAATGGCTATGTCACTGGACTCCCATGAAGTCGACCACAGTTTGTCCTGGACCTGGTGGCTTAAAACTCACGCCGGGCACGTGTGCGTGCGTGCCCAAGATCCCGAGAGGAGAACGGAGGAGAAGGGATTGCGGCATGGCCATCCCCCCTGGGGGGTGATTTCTCGCTGTCTGTCTCTCTGTCTCTCTCTGTCTGTCTGGAGAGCGCATGCACCCTATAGCAGAAAACCTCTCCAAAAAAAAAAAAAAAAAAAAAAAGAAAGA